TTGTTATATGAGAATCTAGTAGTGTATTTATGACTTATTTCGCTAAAATAGGGTTGAAATATCAGCGGAGATTAAAATATCAGCGGAGATTGAAATATCAGCGGAGATTGAAATATCAGCGAAGTGCATATTTTATTTTGTATATATACTGTAAAACAAGAAGTATATTAATTTTGTATATATTCAATGCTCCAAGTTTGTATAAAAGAGGTTCATAAGACACTTTTTTACTTTTAGTATTATTTATTTTTAGATCCGGTAGTTTAAGAGAAATATTTTCATTTTTATTTGGTTTCTGAAATAGGCTGAATTTGGTCTTTTTGACACTCAAAGAGAGTTTGTTACACCTGAACCACTCGTTTATTATATGTAATTCTTTGTTAATTGTGTTAAAAAATGTTTTAGTGTCTCTATGTGAATAAAGCAAATTGGAGTCATCTGCAAACAAGATTAAACTTAGTAAGTTTGATGTTGAATATAAATCATTTAAATACAGTAAAAATAATAACGGTCCTAAGATCGAGCCTTGGAGAACCCAGTAAATTATGGTGCTTTTTGTTGTTTTGGTTGTTTCGTACTGAATGTATTACTTTCTATTTAATAAAAAAATTTTAAGCCAAAGTAGGTTATTATTTTTTACTCCATACACTTCAAGTTTTTTAGAAGAATATCGTAATTTACGTTAAAAGCTTTAGAAAGATCAATAAAAACTCCTAACTTAAAGCAATCATTACTAAAAACGTTAGATATAAGAGTAACTACCTCAATTATAGCAAGTCGGTTTAGTGGTTTTATTAAATCCAAATTGTTTACCATATAAAAAACTGTTTTCCGTCATATAATTGTAAAGTCTATTATACATAATGCGTTCTAGTAATTTGAAAAAACATGGTAAAACTGATATACGTCTATAACTATTAGTATCAAAATCATCTCCAGATTTAAAAATAGGGGTAACTCAAGCAATTTTTAGTTTATCTGGGACAATGCTTGATTTCAGTGAAAGATCTGGGACAATGCCTGATTTCAGTGAAAGATCCTCGCTTTGTCGTTTTTTACACAATTTGTTAACTACACTTTTCAACTTGACAAACTGAAAGCTCAAAAATAAATATGATTTCGATGTAGAGTAGGTGGGTATAAAATTAACAGCTAGCAGTTCCGTCCCAAAGAGATCTCAAAGAGGGGTGGGGGGAGTTAACGTACGTGTTTTTGATAAGTAAAGTCTAAAAAATTTTTTTTACCAACTAAGATCTGTATAAAAAAAAAAGAAGGTTCTCGTTGGCTAACTTTTACCGAATGCCAACTACAGATTCAATTTCGCCGACTGCAGTGTCCAAATTTGCTGACTGATTAATTTCCTACGAAAAAACTAGGAGTTTAGACACACCTAGGATGTCTAACCCCAAGGGAAGTAACCTTGGTTTCTAATCCCACCAAAATTAAGAGGTTAAACACCCCTTTACGCCTCTCCACCCACTCGGGACGACCCTGTTAACTTGTCACCGAGTACAAAGCATGTAATAATCAATTAAAGAGGCTCATATATCAAAGACGTTGTGAATTTGAACTTGACTTAAAATTGAAGCACAATACAAAGATCCTGTTCAAGTAATTGAACAGCAAACAAAATGTTAAAACTACCATACCAGCTTTAAAAAGAATTAATGGCGACACTATCACAAATCCAATGGACATTGCAAATTGGCTTAAAGATCACTTTCAAATTATTTTTAACAATAATGTAGATAATGAACTGCCAGGTTTTGAAACCCAACAAAAAACGAACTGAAGCCATATAACAAAAAAAACTTGAAATCAGGTTAAAAACAAGCATATAGACCTATCAGTTTGATAAAACCGTTGGCGTGGATGGTGTAAGCTCACATGTACTAAAGAACTGCGCACAATTTTTCAGAAGTTGCTAGATTGTGGTTGTTGTCCTGAAATATGAAAAAAGGCTAATGTAGCACCACTTTTTAAAAAATGAAGTAGACTCAACCCAGGCAATTTGCAGCATATATCCTAAATATCAACTGTATGTAAAGTGATGGAGAAAATAATATGTGAAAATATTATGATCAATCACTTAGTTGAGCATGGTCTTATTTGAACAAATCAAAATGGACTTATTAATAAAAATGCAAGTGTGAGTAATTTATTGAAGTCAATTGAAATGATGTCAAAAGTATTTTCTGACTAGGTATTTATAAATGTAGCATTTATAGATTTCACTAAAGTGTTTGATATGGTTCCACACAAGCGAATAATTCACAAACTCGATAATGTCGAGTGACAAAAGAACACATTTCTTTTGTCACTCGACATTTATTTCCACCTCCTGAAAAAATTGTGGAGACAGAATCATTTATAGGCCGCCTCCAATGGCTTCTGCCTCCCAACTGGCTGCGGCCGTTAAATTGGAGGCGGAAATATTTGCTTCCCGCCGGCGGATGTAATGAAAAATAATTGCTCGTTTGCTTTAAAGTAATTTACTATTAACTAGAAACAAATATTTGACATCAAGTTTCATTTTATATGGTTGTTTGCAAAAGTTTTTAGTATTTAAAAAAATTATAACTTTTTTTTTAAACTAATAAATTAAGTAAAATAAATTAGTATTCTAATTATACAAAATAAAAGTTAAGAGTTGGAAATTTTATTTCTATGCGATTGGCGAATAAATCTTTTATATATAATAAGTAATTAAATTAAATGATTATGGTCAAAGGTTTTTAGATCAAGTCGACATGCTTAAATTTTTATATATATTATATCATTTGCCATAAGGTTAAATACTTATTTTTAATAATTGGATGTTGTAAAAGTTATTGAAAGAGTATCTGCTAATATTTATTAAAAAAATGCGACTACGCTGTATTACGCTAATAGTTTTGCCAAATTAAAGCAAAAAATATATATATATAAGCTTTAAATATATATACTCTTTTAGATATTATTTATATTTTACTCTATACTTTTAAAACGTTTAAAAATATAGACTCATCTACTTTTACACGATTTAAAGCTTTAAGCGATTAAAAGTTTAAAACGTTTAAAAGTTAAAAATTTATTCGATAGTCCTAGAAAAAACAACCGCTCTGACAATTATAATTATTTTTTCAAAAAGTTTTTTTTAATAGTCAATAAATCATATTAAACAAAACTTTGATGTCAAGTATTTAACATTTGTTTTCATTTATTATTTTATTTGCTCGTTAACTTTAAGACAAACGCACAATTATTTTTATTTACATCAGCTGGCGGGAGGCAAATATTTCCTCCTCCAAATTGGCGGCTGCAACCAACTGGGAGACAGAAGCTATTGGAAGCGGCCTCCAAACGGTTTTGCCTCCAATATTCCTTCTGGAAGCGGCCACCATTGGCTTCTGCCTCTCTATTGGCGTCTGCCTCCAAAACATATTGCCTCCAAAAAAAACTCTGACTGCTGCCGCCAATAGAAAGGCTGAAACCACTGGAGGTGGAATAAAAAATTTTTTGCCGTTAAAAATAAATTGGGAGGCAGCCGCCGTCTGCTGCGGAAGAAAATTGGAGGCGAGAATATTTATGCCGTTAAAATTTAAAACTTCAAAACTTATTTTAAATCATTATGAAACATATTTTACTGTTAATTGACCTTTTAATGATCTGTGTTTGTAAACTCTGAAAAAATGTATATTTATGAATAATTCAAATAATTTGGATTCATGATCTTGTTTCTAATAGAATTTTTGTATAAATTTGTTATTTATTTTACGCTAAAAAATCTAATCATGTTTCTAATTAAAAAAAAGTTTTTTGGATCTTAATAAACAAAATTTACGTCTGTTTTAAAACTTTCCTAAATTTACAGTCATATATTAAATAGTAAAATTAAATTAAAATTATTTTATTTAATTTAAATATTATTTTATTTAAAATAAGTTATTTTATTTAAAATAAATTCTTTTTTGTTTGGTCACTTTATAAGATAAAATTCTTATGTTCAAAGAAACTAGTGTTTGACAACTAAATTTTATTCTTATTTGCATACAATTGTTATTAAAACATGAATTAATTTATTAAAGCTTAAATTATTGAGATATTCAAGCGATTTGCAACTATAGCGCGAGGCACACTTTATTAAAATCCATAAGTACCTGAAGTCATATTACTTTAAAACTTTAATTGTTTTCTATAAAAAAGTTAAAAATCAAAAAATCTAATTTATTTTTTTATATTTATTTATTTTACCAATTCTTTATGATACAAATATTAAATTTAATATTTTTACTATATACTTTGCTTATTCTAAAACTCAATTAGAAACATGACTTCAAGTTTGTTATTTTTAAAGCGAGTTATTTTAGTAACCTGCATATAAAATAACGATTTTTAAAAATGGATTCATATAAAAAAAAACCACGAAAAGTTTTATATTTAAAAAAAAAAAAGATTTTTCAAAATCTCTTTTTTGAGATTCTTAGAATTACAATTCTTTTTTTTTTAATTTTCGGTTTGTTTAAGCACAATACAATACTTAAACATTGCGTGAAAAACAATACAAAAAAATTACAATAATGTCAATTCAATAACATAAAACTACAATAAAATTCATATAATTCTATGAATGATAAAAATTTTATCCCACCTTGTTATTGTTGACTTTAGTTTTTGTTAATTAAGATTACTTAAGTCAGTTTTATTTGAAAAAAAATATGTATCTTAAAAAACCCGGAAATGTTGGGCGAGAAATGAATAAACGGCAGAACAACGGATTTTTTCTGCTTTAGCCATAAAACAGAAATAATTGCTTGTTTTGTTGAAAAATGTTTATTTTTACACAAATTTTAAAATAATTTAACAGAAAGTATTCGTTTAACCGGCTATTTGATAAATTTTTTCTAAGTAACTTTCTAAAAAAGATTTCATTATACGTTTTTAAACTATATTTCTAACATCTGCTAATTCTGCAAATTGCTTGTTACTACTAAGCCCAAACACCGAATTTCGCTCTAAATTTTATTAATAATTCTGCAATTGCGCTTGGTTGTATTGTCTTTTGCGTTAAGGGGGGTGTTTATTTTGTTAAGAATGGTTGATAGTTCAAAATGATTGATAATTTAGTCTTCAGTATTTTTAAAGCGACTCATGAAGAATTTATTAATAGATATAAAAGAATAGTCTCTTACTAATAGCATCAAAGGTATATTAAAATCACAATTACCGATCGAAGGAAAATGTCTAATGTGACTATTTCAAGTCGTATCACACGTTTGAACCAACTACTTAGTGGAAAGACTTCTGGAAAAAAAGTTCCTTTAATAGATAAAGAAACATTACTTGATGCTTTTTTGTCACTTTACTATGAGTGCAACACAGATTACATGATAAAAGATAAAAACATTGCAACTTACGTTCAAAAATGTAAGTAAGATGAACTTTGAGATTTTATATTATAACGTATTGGTTATATATTGGTATAAAAAAAGTATCTAAAAGTTAAGTGTAAATAAAAATGCTGTATTCTTGAATGCCTAATAAATAATCTAATATATTATAACTTATGAATAATCTAATAATTGACATTTAAATAATACTTAATTATACAAGCTATAGATTATAAATACTTATAGCAAAATTATACAAAATTATACTTTCAAAGAAACATAAAACAATGCTTCCAATGTTTTATGTTTCTTTGAATTATTAAAGATTTAAAACACTTAAATTCAATCAATTCTCGTGCTTGTAAAAAACATAACAAATCTATATTATTTCTTTTCAGAGTCTATTTGGCAATAACAATATTATTCAAAAATAGACACTGTTTCAGTTGCCTACCCCTATCATTTTATGATTGATTTTGCCTACCCCTATCATTTTATGATTGATTTTGATAGAGAATTTGATAGAGAATGCTGATTAAGATTCGTATAAAAACATTGACCTGAAAATATATGGAAAGTACTCTAATTTAATGTTGAAGTTTAAAAAATTTCGCTAAAAACGCTAATATTGCCATCTTTTTTAAAATGTCTTTTAATCTGTTTTTATTTAGAAATTAATCGTTTAGAAAATCTTTTTTTTAATTACGCTACATGGTTTTTATTGTTGTCATTGTTGAAATCTCTTAAATATTATCATGAGTATATATGTATTTACATCGACTGACTGACATCGAGTAAATACATCGACTGACAAATAGGGATTGGCGCAATTAAATGCACATACATTGACTGACAAATAAAGATTGGCGCAATTAAATCTACATGGTCAGGGTTAGGGTTTGGGTCAGAATCAGTTAGAAACATGGGTTTTGCTTTAAATAGTTTTTCTTAAAAGTGTTAATAAAGAACGGGTTGTTTTTAAGTTAACGGAGAAAAAGAATCTAATCACATTTCGTGTATGAAGAAAATAACAATTATTAGCGTTTTTAGTGTAATTTTTTAAACTTCAACATCAAATTAGAGTGCTTTCCTCAAATTTTCAGGTCAATGTTTTTATACGATTCTTAATCAGCAAGAAATTCTCAATCGAAATCAATCATAAAATGAATGGGGTAGGCAACTGAAACAGTGCCCAAAAATGTTCAAATTATGTCACCTATTAAGTGTTATTATACTTTTTTTAAAAAATTATGTATATATATATATATATATATATATATATATGTATGTATGTATATATATACATATGTATATACATACATATATTCTTACCTCTTAAGTGTTGTTACACTATTGAAAAAATATTATTTTGTTATTTTTATAAAATTATAAATTAAGCTAGTTAGTCTATTTATTTAATACTTTATACAACTCGAAATTACTCTGCAACAAGAAAGAAACAGACTTAATGCAAATCTTGAAACAAACTTGCCATTTCAATATGGCATCCACGAAAATCAATTACAGAAATTCAAGAAAAACTAATAGATTAATTGAAGCATTGTTAGATATAAGTATTCAGAGCTAAAGTGTATTTATTTAAATGCTACCTCACTAGAAAATAAGTTAGATGAATTAAAGGTTGTGATGAGTGTGCATCGTCCAAAAATCATTAGAGTAAGTGAAACATGGTTCAATAATAACACAGTTGTTGACCTTACCTGTTACAATACATGCAGATATATATTGTACCCATACATAACTGGTCACCGCAGAGGCTGCAGTATTTGCTGATATATAGAAAATTCAAAAATTCTTATGACCTTTTTGATACTGGGTTTCAAGTATACTTTGGCCAAAACAAATACCTAGTTGGTTGTCTCTACAGACCAAATTATATTGTTGATTGGTTGATATGGATAATGTTTTTAAGCTAGCAAAAAATTATGTCGATGTTAAGGGTTTCAAAGATGTATTAGTTAGGGGTGATTTTAATTTTGCAGCTATTAAATGGTCCAATGATGGTATAATATCTATTTCCAATAAATGTGACATTGAACATAAAATTTTTAGAACTTTAAATGATTAAGGAGATAAAAAAAATTAATAAGGAGAAAAAAATATTTAAAATACAGAAATTGTGCTTATAAATGGAAGGATGTTAACCTAATTAAAAAATTTAAGGTGTTATGCAATTTAGTTACAACAGAAATATATTATGCTCAAATTTTATTTGAAAAGAAACAGCATATAAATCCAAGCGTAATCCCAAACTGCTATACAATTATTTAAACA